GAGCCGTGAGCAAGTCTCTGGTCTCGGCTCCGAGCATCTTGTGTCTTCTCCTCACTAGCTGACACAGGAGCTCGGAGCAGGGCCGAGTCAAACCCTGACCGGTGGCATGGCCAGGGAGGACAGAGGGCCCTCGCCCCCTGCCCCTCAGCCCCGCCAGCTAGGACATGGTGAGACCCAGCGGTGGCCGTCCCCTCCTACCTCCCTGGGTGCCTTCAATCCCTTCCCCCGGCTGGCCTGCTGTCAGGGGAGGGGAAAAGCTCGCCCCACCTCGGGCAGAGTGAGGGACTCACTGGGGGAGCAGTGGCCCCCCTGTGGGGAAGACAGAGGAGGCGGGAGGTTGGTCTGGGCCTGGGAGGCTGCACACCACCTTCCCTTATGGCCCCAGGTGAACCCCACTCCACTCCTCACTAAGGAGCCCCCATGGAGTCCCCATTGCTGCTGTCACCACTGGTGTGACCACCTCAGGTCTCATCGGGGACCAGAAGTCTGACTGTGGAGCCTTCCAGGCAACGGGAATGAGTCTGGCCCTGCCTCCCACGCCGAGGCCTGAAGGTAGGTCAAGCCCCTTGGCGTGGCAATGTCCGTCCCATCCTTTGGGGTCCTGCCAGCTGGGGACGTGCTGCCCCGAGGACCAGCGGCCTGCTGGCCGCTCCTGTGTTTGGGTGAGATTTGAGCGCCGCAGGGCCGCCAGCCATGATATGCCGAGGGCCTGGAGGGCCAGGTCACAGGCCTGTAATGCACCCGGCCAGAAATCAGGCCTGAGGCCGGCGTGGACACCAGGAGCTGCGGCTGAGATTCAGTTACGGGCGCAGCCAGGAGCCCCCGCCCGGAGACGGCTGCCCAGGAGAGCCCCTTGCCCTCCCGTGGTGTCCCCATCTTTCAAATGCAGGAGTCCCAGGGCCCTGCTGGACCCGGGGGCAGGAGTGGCCTATACCATGGGCCCACTGCGGCCAGCTCCCTGCGGGCTGCTCAGTGGGCACCTCCTTTGTCCTCGAAACGAGGCTGTCTGACCCCCTTGTACGGGGAGAGTGCTGAGGTTAGCGGTGCCCCAGCCTGCCTGTGCCTCTCTCCCAGGAGTCAGGCCTCTGCCCTGGCAGGAGAGGACTGGGCAGGGCAGCAGGAGAAGCTGGGTGGGCTCCCAGGAGGACAGTTGCCTTGCCACCCTGGGGACCTTTCCTAACGGCTACTGCTGGACAGGCCTCTCCCAGAGCCCAGCCAGGGGGTCAGCTCACTGAGGAGAGGGCACCAGGGCAAGGGCCCTGTCTCGACAGCCCCTGGAGTCCCTGCCCCACCCTCTATCGTGCACAGTGGGTACCTGAGGCTTCCAGGGTGCCGTGGGCAGGCCCTGCACTGGGCAGGGGATGTACCAAGGTCTCCAGGCCTGATATGAAGAGGGCGCTGAAGGGGTGCCTCCCTCGGGGCAGGTCTGGGCAGCAGCTGCCCAGCCTCACCCAACACTACCTCCCTGGGGCCCACAAGCCCCTGGGGCAGTTGCAGGCTGAGACGCCAAGGGAAAACGATGGGTCTCAGCACCTCCCCCGAGGCTGGCGTGCAGGGAGGCCAGCGTGGTGACCTCTGCGTATCGCATTCCCATCAATATTGCAGCAGCCCCCACCCCCAGCCGCCTGGCCCTCAGCTGACAGTGCCCTCCCGCTGAGCAGAGATGGTGCCTGCAGTGAGGCAGGGGGCCTGGCCTGGGGTGTGCATGACTCCACGGGGCACAGAGACCGGCCGCCCTGCTGTCCTGGGCACCCCTGTTTGGGAGACTCAGGGGCCCCAGCCTAACCCCATTTCCAGATGTGCTCCAGAGCCTGCACAGCACCCACCGCGGCCAGGGGGAGGGCTGCACCTGCATTAGCTGGGCAGGTGGGCGGTGTCCGTGCTGGGCCCGGTCCTGGGAGCACCAGGACCCCTCCCCGGAGTATCTCAGAGGGACTGGCTGGTCACTCTGGTTCAGAGAGGGAAGGCCCAGGCCAAGGTCGGCGGGGCTGGGAGAGTGCAGGGCCCTGAGGAGTCCATAGGACCTGCTCCCGTGCTCCCCCACCTCCTCCTTGTGGTTGCCATTAATGGCAGGGGGAGGGGAGGACCTCAGAAGCAAGCGGGAGCGGGGGCACCCAGGTGGCAGGCACCCTGGGCCTATGTGCCAAGAGCCGGGTCGCCATTCAGGCCCAGTAGCTTCTCGCCGGAGCCAGACCCAGCCTTTCACTAAACTGGCCGGGTGTTTAGGAAGTAACCGTCAGCAAGGGAGTCCAGTCAGCGGGTCCTACGTTCAGACACTGCCACGCCAGGACGGGCCAGGCCGCAGCATGTCCCCAGCCCCCCGATGGCGGCAGGCCTGCTGTGGGTTTCAGACTGTGGCCACAAGAGGCTGTGGGTGGTGGCTACAGAGGGACTATGGGGCAGGCCCGGGGCAGGCCCAGGGCCGGGAGAGCTGGGGCTCAGCTGCAGGTGGTCCTGGGTGTTCTGAGGGACCCCTGCCAGGAGAGGAGGCACAGCAGCCCCTCTGGGGTACCCAGGGTGAGGGACAGGCCTGAGCCCATGTCCTGACGGGAAATGGGGCCAGGGGAGCTCAGTCCCCTTCTGAAGGAGTGCTGCTAATAAGGGGGGCACAGGTGGCAGGCTGGGACGACACGCCCGCCAGTGGCCTTGGGCCTAGGCCAGCGGGGAGGGATGTGGAGGCACTTGGGGAGCCCTGCCCCACACTGCCAGGGCGCTGACCCTGGGCGTTCTCCACCCGCAGGTCACCCCTCCTCCTCCTCTTCCCTCCTGCTCCTCCTTCTCCCCTCTCCTCCTCCCTCCTCTTCCCTCCTCTGCTCTCGCTCCTTCTCCCTCCTCCCTCCTCTGCTCTCCTTCCTCCTCTTCCCTTCTCCTTCCTCTTCCCTCCTCCATCCTCTCTTCCCTCTTCCCTCCTCTGCTCTCCCACCTCTTCCCTCCTCCTCCCTCCTCCTCCCTCTTTCCCCCTCCTCCATTCTCCCCCTTTCCTCTTCCATCCTCAGCTCTCCCTCCTCCTCCTCTCCCTCCTCCTGCCAGTGCCCCTCTCCCAGGAGTCAGGCCTCGGCCCTGGCAGGAGAGGACTGGGCAGGCAGCAGGAGAAGCTGGGTGGGCTCCCAGGAGGACAGTTGCCTTGCCACCCCGGGGACTGTTCCTAACGGCTACTGCTGGACAGGCCTCTCCCAGAGCCCAGCTCTCTGAGGAGAGGGCACTGGGGCAAGGGCCCTGTCTCCCTCCTCCCTCCTCTGCTCTCCCTCCCCCTCCTCCCTCCTCCCCTCCCGACCACTGTCCACCCTTCTCTATCCTCTGCCCTTCCTCCTCCTTCCTCCTCCTCTCTCCCCCAACCTCCCTCCTCTATCCTGTCCTCTCTCCTCCATCCTCCATCTTCCAACTCCCTCCTCTGCCCTCCCTCCTCCCTCCTCCGACCTTTCTCCTCCCCCTCCCTCCTCTGCCCTCCCTCCTCCCTCCCCCCACCTTCCTCCTCCCCTCCACCCTCTGCCCCCCCTCCGCCCTCCTCCCACCTTCCTCCTCCCCTCCACCCTCTGCCCTCCCTCCTCCCACCTTCCTCCTCTCCTCCACCCTCTGCCCTCCCTTCTCCGTCCTCTGTCTTTCCTCCTCCCTCCTCCTCTGCCCCACCCCGTCCTCCCTCCTCCACCCATCCCCTCCCTGGCCGTCTCCTGTCCACCCCTCCATCAGTTCAGTCAGCAGACTCCCATGAAGCTCTGCTCCTTGCTGGGAGCCAGGACAGACAAGCTCCCTGTCCTTAGCAATGGGCAATGCTAAGGGAGAGGACAGGACGGGGCCTGCCTCAATGGCTTCTCTAGCCTCTGCCCCAGCCAGGCCTACCATGAAGGCTTGCCAGCTGCCGCAGGGCCACCTCGGCAAGGACCATGCCTGGTGCCCACCCTGGTCATCCTATCTGACCGAACGTCACCCAAGAGGAACCCTAACTGTGGCTCCCAAGGCACAGTTCACTTCTGTGGCCCAGGCAAACGGTGTGGCTTGGCCAAGTTCCAGCCACAGCTCATCCCCAGTCCCACTGTAGCACCGGCCCCAGTCCCTGTCCTGTCCCCTGTCCCAGTCTGGCCTCAGCACTGGCTGCTTGGCTGGTGGTTCTGGCTTGGTCCTGCCCCAGGCCCAGGCTCCTAGCAGCATGGCGTAGGGGAGAGTGCAGCGAGAGCTTTCTGGCGAGGCTGCAGTGGGGCTCCAGTCTGAGCCCACTCCCCACAACACCCCCAGGACAACAGGGGACCCAAGGCCTTACCGGGCGGGCCATCTCCCGCAGGTACCGGGCGCAGTCCTGGTGCCCATGGTAGTCCGCCAGGTCTGCTGCTGTGTACCCATCTTCGTCCCGCAGGGCGGGGTCCACGCGGTGGGAGACCAGGGTCTGGCAGCACTGCAGTGAGGGGCACAAGCTCGCCCACCGCGGGACGGCAGCACCTCTGTGCAGGCAGCTCGGCCAGTCCCGCTGCACGGCGCCATTCACGGCAGGGGTGGGACTTGCACCTGGGCTGTGGGCTCCAGAGACCTGCCCCAGAGCTCTGAGCCTCCTCCCACGGTGCCCTGTCCTTGCCCGACTCCAAGCACCACGCGGCATGGGAAGAGTGAGCCTTGGCCTGGGTGAGCCCAAGTCTGCGCCTTCCAGGATGGGAGGGAAGCCTCCATGCCCAGCACTCCCGGGTCTCCGCGCTGTCCCAGGCCTCTGGACTCCCTGAGGGCCCACCCTCTTTCCTTAGAGCTACCTCGGGCCTGGACAGAGGTCACAACCCTGAGCCCACTACCTCGTCTCCCACCCCAATCCTGACTGGCACCCTCAGGGCTCTGGCACGGGGATTAGGAGAGAGGGAGGGGAGGGGCTGCAGGAGCGGGGGCTGGAGGACAGTGGGTTTGCAAAGGACTCAGATGTGAGAGGAAGGAAATTTCTGTAGCTTATTCTGAAAATATTTATTCTGTAAGTATCAGTGCTCCCTTTGCAGTACTCAAAAAAAAAATAAATAAAAAATCAAAGGAACTCGAGTTAGTCGAACTTTTTGGTTTGCTGAACTGGGACTACCTGGGCCTCGTCCTCCCTGGTTACACCAAACTGAACAAAAAGTCATGAGACCCCAAAGGAAATCATTCTCCTTTCTGGACCGTAGGTGCCTCACCTGGAACAGGTGCAGCCGGCTTCCCCTCACAGACACTGGGTGAATACGAGCTTGGTGTGAGGTAGGGTGTACCCTGTAGGAGTATGCCAGCTGATTTTGGGGTGAATGAGCAGTGGCCTGGCACCGAGGACCAGGGTGTGACCTCACCCTGATTGTACAACCTGCTGGCCAGTGAACAGCAGCGCTCATGTGACAGTGCCCTCCCTGGTAACGGCACCCCTGGCCCAGAGGGCTGCTGGGGCCAAGAACAAGACAATGTCGAAGGTCTCGGAAGTACTAATGGGCTGAGCACGTGGCCTGGTGTGGCCGAGTCGGGACCCATTTATCAGATGTGCAAGGAGGCTGGGCCGGAGGTCGAGGGGCAGGCCACTGAAGCTAGTCCCTGGGAGAAGGCCCACCCGCGGGCTCTGGGGAGGGGAAGGCAGAAGGGCTCCGGCTATGAGCAGAAAGAGCCTGAGAGCAGGGCTTGGCTGCCGCTGGGGAGGGGAGACTGGGCTGGACTGAAGGGAGGTCACAGGGTCCAAGGAGCTGCTGATGCCACAGCAGCAGCAACGTGGAGGAAGGGGACAGAGGGTCAGACATGGCCCAGACGGTGCGGCCTGAGCAGGGCACAGCCGAGGAGGAGGAAAGGGACCTTCTGCAGCCTGACAGGCCCACTGCTGCTGCAATTTGTGAGCAGAGGGTGGGTGTTGACAGCCAACTGAGATCAAGCCTGGGAATCTGGGCAGTGGCGGGTCAGACCAGTCCGCTCCCCAAGGACAATGTGAAACATCCCGAGTGTGAAATCCACCTTCCACACACATCAAAGAGATGATAGAGAAGGACGGAGAGAGACAGAGGGACAGAGGGCGAGAAGTCACTCCCAGGAGCATGGCCACGCCGCAATCCCTTCTCCATTCTCCTCTCGGGATCTTGGGCACGCACGCACACGCGCCCGGCGTGAGTTTAAGCCACCGGGTCCAGGACTTGAACTGCGGTTGACTACGTGGGAGTCCAGAGACAAAGCCACTATGCCAACTGCTGGTCCCCTAACTCTAAAGTTTTAAAAAAGAAAAAAACAAGGAGAATAATTTATCATTTAAAAACCCACTCATGCATGAATGATTGTGACTACTTCGGAGGCCTGAAGTCAGACTATGGTTCTAGGAGGAGCCACAGAGAAGCACACGAGGTGGGTGCCGGCCCGGCCCCGTTGCTGGGCTGTCTCTGTCTCTTGCTCGCTGCCTTTGAGCTCTCAGCTCTGCATGCTCAAAACACCGACTGCTACTCAGGAGTCCTGCAGTCCGCAGGCCAGAGGCTGCACGCAGCTGGGTAGAGGCAGTCGGCGACTCCCTGCGAAAGCTGACAGCTTTGCCTCTGTCCGTCCATCTGCAAGCTCACTCTCGCAGCCACGGGCACTGAGGCCGCTGCAGCATCAGTGAGCAGACGACAGTGCGCACCGGCCAGATGTGAGGAGCGGCAGTCCCCGTGTCGCTGGCGCTGGCAGAGATGCGAATCCGCACCGCTGCTGCGGGAAGTGGCTTGGTGAGTGAGTGGTCACATGACCCAGCAATGCCACTCCTGGGTATAGACTGCACAGCTGAAAACTGGTGCTCAGATGACAGCTCGCCCGTGAGCACTCACAGTACTGCCCACAGCAGCCAAGGTTAAGGTAAGCCGGGCTCCGTCCGTGGATGAGTGGGTCCACGAGGTGACCTACCCACACGATGGAGTGTGGCTCAGCCGCCAGGAGGCAGTCCTGGCACACACTGCTCTGCGTGAAGAGCCAGACACCTCAGGTCACGCGCGGTGGGACTCTGTCCACGGGAAAGAGGAAACAGCTATAGCGACAGGCAGAAAGGCGGTTGGGCTGCCAGGGGCTGCGAGGAGGGGACGGGAGCCCTGCTTTGTGGCGCGAGGGCTCCTTCCGGGATGCCGAGCCTGTTCTGCCGTTCGCGGAGTGGTGGCTGTACGGTGGGAGTGTGGACGGCTAACTGCCAGAGACTGCGCACTTCAAAGCAGCTCGTTTGAGCCAGCAGGAGGCAGGGAGGTTACGGCAACCAGATCCCACGTGGCCAACTGCACGGTTTGAGTCCTGGACCCAGTGGCTTGAAAAACACACCGTGCACACGTGCGTGCATTCCCGAAACCCTGAAGGAACACGGAGGAGAAGGAATTGCAGTGTGGCCATCCCTCTGGGGGTGATTTCTTTCCTGTTCTCTCCCTCCTCTCGGCAAGCACATGTGCCCTATGGCAAAACAAACAAACAAACAAAAAATGAAACAAAAAAATCCCAAAGGAAGATGTGGCAGTGTGGAAATGAGCCTCTCCGGTCTCCACCTGGGGGCGGGCAGCGTGGCTGGCACTGAGCTCTGGCTGCCTCTGGGTCCAGCCCCAGACCTTGCCGAGACCCCGCCCGCACAGGACACCCCAGCCCCCGCACAAGTCCTTTCCGGTTGTTTCCCACGGACCTCTCACACATCTGGCCCCTTCCTGGCCTCTGCTTCTTAGAGGACCTGGACCAATACAGGCAAGAAGGAAAGAAAAAGAATCAAATTAGAAGAGAGAAAGAGCTCAAGGTACAAGGGCATCTTAAATGTCGGTAATTTCACGGACTGAAATGGACTAAGTGTGCCGAGAGATAGACCGTCAGGTCTGAGCGAAAACGAAACGTGGCTGCATGCGCTCCCGAAGACGCCAGGAAAACACAGGGGTTCCGAAGGCCGGGGGCAAACTACTCGAGATCCACATCGCACAGAGCGCAGGAAAGCAAGCTCAGACATTCACGCTGATTCCGATGACACAGCGGACCGGGCCTGGGGCTTCAGAATATGTGGAACGGATCGTGACAGGACCCCAGGAACACCGGCAAATTCGGGATCAGTGAGGTTTTCACACACCTTGCTCAAGTGGTTTTAGATCCAACTGACAAAAATTGTGGATAGATTTGAGGAACACAATGAACAAACCTAGACAAAATGGGTATGTCTAAAATAGTCCAAAGACTCTAATGTTATCAAGAGCACACTAAACGCTTACAAAAACTGGCCCCGTGCAGGGCTATAAAGGCCTGGTAAAGGTCAAAGGGTGGAACTCTCCAGTACACCTTCTGACCTCAGGGCCCTCAGGGTAGAAATCAGTAACAAGCAGATGCCTTGAAAACCTCCATGTTTGGAAATCAAGAGACACACTGCGGGACTAGCAGATGGCGTAGCGGTCACGTCGCTGGACTCCTATGAAGCCAACAGCAGTTCAAGTCCCAGACCCAACAGCTTGAAACTCACTTGGGCATGTGTGTGTGCGCATGTGTCCAAGATCCCGAGAGGAGAATGGAGGAGAAGGGATTGCAGTGTGGTCATTTCCCTGGGAAGTGACTTCTTGCTTTCTATCTCTCTGTCTCTGTCTCTCTGGTGAGCACACATGTCCTATAGCAAAAATCTCTCTCTCAAAAAAAAAAGTCATCTGCAGGGAAAAGAAGAATTGGAACAGGAACTGGGAAATGCTTTTAACTGAGCAGTGACGGAACTGTGGGTGCAGCTAAAGCAGTGCTCAGAGGGAAACAGATAGCCTTAAATAAACATACTAGAAAAGAAAAATGGTCGAAAGGGAGGTAGGCACTCATCTCAAGAATTTAGGAAATAGGGGACCAGCAGTTAGTGTAATGGCTATGTTGCTGGACTCCCACGTAGTCACCGCAGTTTAAGTCCCAGATCTGGCGGCTTAAACTCATGCCAGGCGTGTGTGGTGTGCGTGCCCAAGATCCTGAGAGGAGAATGGAGGAGAAGGGTTGGTGGCGTGGCCATCCCCCCCCAGGGGATGATTTCTTGCTTTCTGTCTCTGTCTCTCTCTGTCTGTCTGGCGAGCGCACGCACCCTATAGCAAAATAAATAAATAAATAAATAAATAAATAAATAAAAAGGATTTAGGAAATAGAAGGAAAGAATAAAAAATAAATGTAGAAATTAATGAAATGGAATGCACACACACTGAACAGAATTAACTGTTTTTTGAAGGACCTTGAACAAGTCAAAATATGGTTGTTTGAGGAACTAAACATTGACTAACCTCGATGAGGCTGACTGAGATAAAAAGAGAAAGTCAAAAATAACTAATATCAGGAATAAAAAATGGGGAAATCACTAAGTGCCCTATCGGTGATAAAGAATAGTGAGACTATTATAAGTAACTTTAGGGGCCGGCAGATGGCATGGTGGTTAAGGGCGCTGGACTCCCATATGGTCAACCGTGGTTCAAGTCCTGGACCTGGTGG